ATTTCTTCGTCAGAGTAATCGACGGTTTCTTGGCAACCCCACGGGTTGGTGCTTTCTTCTTCAGGCCCTTGGGTTTTTTAGCCCATATATTTGTAAAGGAAAAACAAGTTGTTAGCAACCTAACAAGACAACATTATAAGTAGTGAACTATCGAGTACTTACCTTTCTCAAAAATGATATTAAACTTGGCATCGTCAATGCAGAAGGGATACGCTTTTAGTCGAGAAAGCGTAATAAGCTCGGTAACATCGCGCTCACTGCTAGGGAGGTTACTAAATCGCTCCAAGCTCACGTTAGGAAAGAAGTTCTGCTTGACATTTACTACAAAACACAAAGAATTGATTAGTTCGCCTGTCGAGCTTGGAAACTCACTTTGTACGCACAATGGTCGAAGTCTTACTAGCTTCTGAAGCAAAAAAACTCAGTCTCCTCGGCCTTATTGAAAAGTATTGAGAGTCCTAGTGCAAAATTTTCTTTGGGACCTCGACCAAACCATTGAATTGTACTTTCCTCACCTTGGAGAGGTAGTACGTTTGGTCCTAACTCTTTTTCAACATATACAAATGGACGAGCTCGTCTACAGATAGCTCGCCCAATTTAACTATCATGTACGCTATGTACATGCCTACAATAATTATGTACGAGTTCCCCGACAACCGAAGAGGAACAATGCCAAACCAGTCTAAAACATTGGCGATAAAGTAGTGAGGCAGAACGGACATCCCACACCTCAAGAGGGTATCAAAAATCGCCACATAACCGGTGGGCGAATTTTTTCGGGAGAAGTTTCCCGAAACCCTTAAAGAAAGTTGAGTCACATAAACACTTGTTATGCTCTCAATATCCTTAACCCCAATCGAGGAACACGGTTCCTTTTGGGGCTTATGGATCGGAGATCTCTTTCACGGAGGAGTCTCCGCAGAAGCATGATTAGAAGAGCTAGCAGTGTTGGGGTCCGAGCTCCGCACAATAAGGTCCTCAAAAACTTCTAGGACTACTTCCCCGCGAACAAACAAGGTTGCCAGGGAATCAAACAGTTGGTCTATGTTGTTGCTGCTAGATGAAGACATGTTGAAAGCTCGCCTCTGGATACCTGAAACAAAAGAGACCAAGTGTTAGAGCTCAAAAATTCAGTGACCTATTGACACTTTGCTTTCAGTTCAGGCACCGAGGGTAACCCACATTGTTAGGAAACGATCAAGTTATGGCAGCGGAAACAAAAACAAAAACATCATAGATCGTTCCTTTGAACTAAGATCAGGGAACAAATTTACAGTTTATACAACATATTAGAACCTGCAGAAAAATCAGCTCAAGGTTAAGAAACCATACCCACATTTGGAGGCTCCTCCAACTTGTCTCGGAATGGGTTTCGCTACCGACCCAAGAATAGGATCGAACCAGCAGTAGTCCACACAAAGATAATCCCTAACAAACTAAAGAGGGATTTGCTAGATCCTCTTTAGCCTTAAGAACCAAGAACAAAAATCAAATGAAACTTTGATTCAATCAAAGATGAAGTGGCGTGAAAGAGAAGAAAAATGAGGCTGGAATTTCTCTTGAAATGATTAAATTAATTAATTATTATTTCTCACAAAGTATTGCACTTATATAGTGCACACTTTGCCCTATTCCATCATGGAATAGGCTTGGGCACCAACCCAAACAGCCCCTATATCTAAACAGCCCTAATTAGATATTTTATCATTATTATTATTTCAATTAAACTCAATTAATATATATTTCATATATTAACATTTAACAATAACAATAACTCGTTTAAATATATGCGAACACATATTTAAATATAATTTCACTTATTTAATTTTATTAACAAATTAGATAAATGCTACGACCTTAGCAAATTTAATTGCACTGTGAAATTACCAAAATACCCTTTTTTGCCTAAAATGACAAAAATGCCCTTCTTTTAAATAGGTTCTTAAATTATCTTCTATGTGTGTGACCTGTAGGCTCCTTATCATACTGGTAGTGTGTAGTATCGCATTAACACTAATTAATCGTCTCACTACACACAAACCAAGATTGGCCCCTAGCAAGGCATCATGGCCACCCGATAAATTCGAATTCAGCGAAGCAGCTACCTGTCAACGATATGGTTACCGTACAATCCAATATTTTCATCATACGTTATCTCGACGAGACCAAGGTATAGAAATAGTGTCAACCTCAGTTACTCTCGATATTATGTATTCAGTTACTAGACCAATTACCTGAATTATAAACTGGATCGAGCAACAACTCAATCCCACTGTGGCCACAGTTTTAGTGTCATTGTCATTTACTGAATTACGCCGTGAGATAGCTTCTCCTGTACCCGGGAGTGATGAATCCTCTGTCAATCCACCATAGTCTTGATACAGTCCTTGATGCAGCCAATCACTACCATATTGACAGCTCTGAATAGAACTACGTTAGGCTACTGTCAAACTACACCAATCGGTGCACAAGGTGCTCCGGTGATCTCAAGTCTAAGGATCACATGCACCACCATTTGTTAGAGGATTTGTCCCATAGACACTGGGTTACCATTCATATGGAATCCTCTGATGGGTCAGTCGAGTGAACTTGCCTACAGCAAGCACCCATGTGTTGCACCAAGTTGTCACCAAACAACCTTGACAAGTGAGATCAGTCACTACCTTTCGACAGGGTCGTTCAACACTATGATAGCCGTACCGTATTATCTGTGCCCTTACTTTAGAATAATACTAGGTCTACGGACGTTTCTAGAATGGCCACCTTATGTGCTCATAGGGTTCTCACTATCAAGATTTGAAACACTTGATACCCTCATCATGGTTCTACCATTCTAAGGACATATATCAATACATACAATGATGATTTACGCGATATAGAATAAAATGCCTTTTATTGATCAATGAACATTATTACAAAGAGTCAATTCTACAATAATTGATTGGCTCTAGGGCATCTACGCTAACACGCATCGATCAACAGATATGAGCAAGCTACCAAAATTCTAGCAGCCACCTCGTTAAACCCTTCTAAAACCCAGAACCGACGGGAACACTCAAAAAACCCTAGAAAAAGCTAATGTGGCCACGGCAATGGCCACTGTCAACAGCAAAAGAAGTAAAAACAAGTAAAAAAGGAGAACGAAGCCTTACTGAAGTGTAAAAGTGAAGGAGAATCGTTGGAAAAATGCCATGAAGTCGAGAGAACAGCGACAAAGCAAAAGCAAAAAAGGTCTGAGCATTTTTGAAAACTGTGTGAGTTTTTGACGAAGGTTGCCCGCTTTTATAGTGGTGTGCATAAGAGACGAAGAGGTAGGATTCGGCTGTAACCGTCGATCTACAACAAATCTAAGCCCTCCATTCGTCGAGCAATCCTGACTAACTGACATGGCCACATGTCAATCATCCACGAAGGTCAATCAACCGTTAGACCTCTACAATTATAACCGTTGTCGCACATCTCCTCAATTTCGCGCATGGACAACTGTAGTCGCCCACGCACGATGAAAAGTAACTGCAAAAGCCGGTTGCATTTAATGTGACATGACCTTGTGAAAATTACTCACATGCCGTTTATTTCAAATTCCGAGTTTATTGAGAATTTCATAGCAGAAAAGAGCCAAGTGTTGATCACGTTGACTGAGATCAAGCTCGATTCATGAAGCTCGACAAAATCTATATTCAACACACAACCTACGAAGTCCGAGCTTAACATCAAATCGAGCAACTAGTCTTCGAAGCTCGAAACGAGCACCGAACACTAGAGGCAGATGTTGTGTGTGATTTTTCCATCAAGCTCGGAGAAGTCATAGTTCTGCAAGGTAATAGCCCGACCCAAAACCAGTTCGACTCAAACGATTGTCCTACCCAGCATAAGCTCATCGAGATATAGCTCGATCTAGCATAAGCTAGTAGCAACCAATCTCAACAGTTGTTCAAACAGATCACAAATAAACTTAGATCCCGAATATCTCAAAAGGGATCAGATCAACAACAATCATGGCGCAATTTCATCGCTCAATTGCGAGGATATCGGAGTTGCATTCCAATCTTGATTGTAATCCCTTTATTTTTGCTCTTTCCTTTGTACAAAACTTGTATATAAACCTCTTCCAACGATAGATAAGGGGTTAGCAAATTGTTCTAAGAATTCTATTACTTTCTTGTAAGCTCTCATAGCAAAATAAGAAAATAGTGGACGTAGGCCCAAGATCATAACCCTTCGAACCACTTTAAAAACCTTTTGTGTCATTTACTTTGCTGTATTTACATTCATATATTGTTGGTTATCGTTAATCACGCACACATCGGTTCTGATTTCGTCAAGGTCAATCGGATCGCTCTAATTAGTGTAAAATATTGCATCAATAATATACTGAGATTGTTGATGCAACTTTGCAATGAAGCCACCTAAACAAGAATGAAGAGAAGAAAATTTATAGACACAAAAAGGAACTCAGATAACTTTGCAATAAAAGCCACCTAAACGAAAGCTAACTTTGCAATAAAAATGAAAAGGAAAAGAAAACAATGAAGAGACAAAGTCAAACGGGAAATGAGAATGGCCCCATTCTCCACTATACTGATATTCCCAACTATGAATTAGATAAGAAAATCCATCCATGTCTCTATCATTTTCAACACTCCATAACCATTCATTGACAAACAAGATTCTTGCTTTTTTATAATTAATTTATAGACACAAAAAGGAACTCAACGGTCCAATTTTCACACCCTTTGCCCATCAAACCAAGAACAATTTTGAGCAATTTGGCTGAGAATATATGCTTTCCTAAACATATTTAATTTCTTTTTTTAAAATGTAGGTAATTTATTCTAAATTAATATTTCAAGGCTGCCATTTAGCTCAAATTATTCTATGTATAATTATATATCTCTCAATTTAAGACAAATTTAATATTTAACAGTGTTTCTTAATGTCTGGCAAGAAAAACTTAAAAAGAAAAATTATATATATATATATATATATTCTTTATGGATAACCATCCAATAAATATATGATTATTCTCTTCCTTCCCACCCACTTCTCAATTTCCATTACTCTTTAGATCTGAAAACTTCACCAAAATTCACTCCATAAAATATGGAAGCTCTAATTTCCCAGTTCACTTTCCTCTCAGACCAATCGTGTCAAGACAAGAACTTCGATCCATCCAACATCGAAGACCTGATGAAGCTCTTCGAGATCGAAGCCTACAAGTCATGGGCCGCCCTCGAACTTGAGCAAGAAGAAGAAGCGAAAGAGGCCGAAACCTCCATGCAAAAAGCTGAAGAATATCTCGAATCGGTGATGGAGAGTTGCATGGACGAGTTCAGGAGATTTGAAGAGGAAACGGAGAGCATGTCAAAGAAGGAAATGAATAGCCTCGTTGAGAATGGTGAAAGGGCCAGAAAAATGGGGAAGTTGATGGAGAAAGCAGCCACAATTGCTTCAAAAAAATATATTGAAGCCGCCATGAATTCGGCTTCTGCTTCCATGAAATCAGCTTGGAAAGGAGTTTCTTCTAATAGGGTTCATCCTTCTTGATCTTTTTTTTTTTTTGGGGGTGGGTGGGTTTTCTTGCTTTGGTTATTGAGATGGCTGTAAAGGTCTTTTCACTTGTTTTTTTTTTTTTTTTACTAATATTCTCAAATATTATATGAAAATAATTTTCTGGTCTTTAAATATTTATTTATTTATTTTTATGTTTAATGCTTGAACTTAATTAACTCAGAATTAATTGTAATCATGATATTGTGGAAAGAGGTTATTATTATTATATATGTTAGTGTCGACCAGCCAGTTGGATTGATTTTATTTAATTAAATTCCAGCAAAGGTAAATATTACAGTACAATACTACCGGTTGATAAGGTCACTAGGTCAGCAATTTATTTATATAATATAATTAAATTAGTAAAATTATTATAACACAAATTAATAGTGAAATTATAAACCAATTTATAATTGTTGTTTTAATGTAATCAATGGCAAACTCCTACCTCAGACCTTATAATTTTTAGGTTGTTGATACAAAAATTTACATTAACCAGAGAAACCCGATTGACCTTGAAGAAATCAAATTGGATGTATGCATGATTAATGAAAATCAACAAAGAATAATAAAAACAAGACACTGAATAGTTTTTAAAGTGGTTGGACGAGATATTGACTCTCAAGCCTAATTAATGTTTTGAGTACAAAAATAAGTCTAATCTCTCTAAAATTGCTAACTATTATAATGAATTTTCTGAGGTAATTTATACAAAATTTGATAACAATTAAATGAGAGATTTTAAGAATTGTGGCTTAAACATAGGGAGTTAATCCCATGATTAGCTCAATCATGTTAAATCCAGGACTACATGATCTGATACCGCATTCACCTTCTTGATTAAAGGGTATAAGGCTTATTTGTGACCTGTGATATAACTGTTCATTTAGCTCGCTCCGTCGAGCTTAGCTCGCTGCCTCAAACTTCAATTTCTTTGAGTTATCACAAATTCCGAACTTGTAAAAAACTGATTTTATATATAAAATAATACTTTCATCATCTAAATTTTATCCTTAAATTTTGAACTTATATCTATTAAATATAATTTTTTAAATAATCACCTTCATTCATTAGATATTATATATATTCTTCTATTAAATATAATTTTTTTTAAATAATCACCTTCATTCACTAAATATTATATATATTCTAATCCCAGAACACAATTTTCAATTTCGTCATTGAATGTAAATAATGTAATTATAGACTTAAAAAAGAAGTTAAATATAATGTCATTTTAGTAACTTTAACACCATTGAATTACATGAGATTAAAATAAAAAATAAAAATAAATTATTATAAATTTGAGTCAAAATTTTGTATGACAATGGCTTCACCTTAATTAATGTTATAATATATCTCTCGGAATCCATTTTTCATGATCACTTATCTAAATGGCAACATTTTAGTAAAAATCATTCACGGTAGTTTGAGGTATTTCATTTAATTTAGGGGAGACTATTTCATATTAAATTAAATATTCAAAATAATAATTATTTTAATTACAACTAAAATTAACTCCACCACTTTACAACATAGATCAACACAATTAAATGTTCATACAAATTTGGCTGAGAAGGCTATATCGGGTCTTTTCATTTTTTGTTTTTTTTTTTTTTTTGGGAAGTTATGATACTCTCCATTTTATATAAAAATTACTTTTTGATCTTAATTTGTTTTTTCTTTTAACAAAAGAAAAATTGTTTCTTGTTTATATTTAATGGTTGAATTTAATTAACTCAAAATTAATTGCGATTATGCTTGAACCATACCGCTTGGCAAAGCTATCAGCGAAATCAAGTCCAAGTTAAAAGACTCAAGTCCAATTCAATAAAAAAAAGCCTAAAGGCCCAGAACCCATAAAAGAGGAAGTTATAGCTCACTTCCCTAAGAATGGGGAAGTGGAGATAAAAAAGAGTATTCATGTGAATATGCCCAATGACCCAAAAAATAGTGAACAATGATTCATAAACCTAAGGAACAAGTAACCATACATGACCTAAAAGCCCTATATAAGGACATCAGATTGAAGAAGAGGGAGAAAACCTAATTCTACCATACAAGGCTAATTCTTCACCTACAAGGCTCCAATTCTACTACACAAGACAAATTACTCATACTTAGCTTTTATGCTATCACTTTATATCAACTATTTCTTGTGTACTCTTGTAATCTCCATCAGTTCTCTATCTTTGCACCTATTGTGATCAGTTCCCTAACTTATCATTTTTGGACAATTACATTTTATGCTCAAACATTTGGTTCTAGAAGGAAGGCCCCGTCAACTCATAATAGGTGCATTGCACCAACTTTTCGTTTACCTTAGATGAAGATGAATCCTGGTACCTATTTAGTTATTTTATATGTACTATATGAAAAATTTTAAAAATGCAGCACTTGTAAAATTAACTTAAGAAAATTGTTATCTAAATATGTTATTTGTAAGGTAATGTTATAAGTAATTAAGAAAAAATGTACAACAATCCCATATTAGAGGAGCTAAGTGTTTATCCAAATTTCCGCACCGGCTAGAGCGTCGAGACGAAGACTGTAATAAATACATATATAAACGAGTAATAAAGTATGAGCCCATATTTAATTTTTCTTTATATACAAATATTTACAAAATATACTCAAAATAACAACTTGACAGTGTAGCCCATCCCTTCCACCACGTGACGTTCCGAGTGACCGCAACTCACCTATTACCTGCAAAAACATTGAAAACAACGGAGTGAGCACTAATTGTTCAGTAAGTAAACCTGCTATGCTACCCTTCTCTCTCCGTTGCTTAAATCCTGAATTTTCTTTCCTTACAACTCATTTCCCGACTATTCTCTATTCTTTCTCTGTTCTTCTCTCTGTTCTTTCTCATTCTTTCTCTATTTTGCTCACTGTTTTTCTCTCAATTTTCTAATTTTTCACGACTCACAATAATGAGCATGGTATTACGCATATTCATGATGCAAATGCACAAATGCATAGATTATGCTTTTTCTTTCTATTTTTCTCATTCAGTTTTCAGTTTCTTATTCTTTATTTATTTCTTTCTATTCTTTCTATTCTTTCTTTCTTTTCTATTCTTTCTTTCTTTCTTTCTTTCTATTCTTTCTTTTCTTGCCAATCGGACTCGGTTGAGGCATGGATTTGGAGCCTTGGTCGTGTAAGTGAATTCTCTAATTCTGGGTACAGTCTTTATCCACATGCACTTCTAACGAACTGTACAATTTTTCTTTCTGAATTCTGAGGCCGCTCACTAAAGGCGGCGTGCATGTGGGACTATGTCACTCACGGGCTCCCCATCGCAACAACCTTCTCTTCTTTTTATCTTTTTACACTTCTTTAACTAAAATTTCATATTTGAATATCTTAATATTCTCATTTCTTTCTATTTTCTCTTTAACATATTTTAGTGTTTTTTCATGCTCTTATGAAGATATATGTATGTAGATGGTTTCATGCTTATAATTCTTTCTAAATGCAAATGTTTAAATGCAAGGATGCCATGTAGCATAAAAATAAGTTTCTCTCTACCATCTACAAACTCATATCAATTCATAAATGAATAAAACTCATGCATACACTTCTCTTGGACATTTCATCAAACATATTGCATGCATAATCAAACTCTAATTTGACTACAATTCTATCTCTTTCTCAAGCCACCAATATTTGGAGTAAAACTCCCTTAAACAATTACTAAACCTGTCCAAAACAATACACTCCCAAAAATTCTACTCAACTCTTTCTAACTTCAACCAAACTTCAATTAATCATCATACAACCAAAACCACTTCTCATGGCTAAATTCTATTCATCAATAATCATCAAACTCATCAATAATTCATCAATTTCATCAACAATTCTCAAAATCATAAGCATATACATATATGTAAAATCTCTACACACTTGATTTCTCAAATCATAACTTGGGTGGGATTTACTTACCTTTGATATGAGCAATCCAACCCCTTTAAGAATCTTCTTTGATCAAACTCTCTTCTTCTTAAATCCTATGAGCACAAACCATCAAAATTCAACACTTTAAAAATGAAAAATCACTTCTTAGTGCAAGGATCTTACCTAAAGTTGCTTGGGATTGAAAATCCACTCAAAAATACCCAAAATCTATGAATTTCTTTTGAAAAAGAAGTGAAGAAATTGAGAGGATTTGGAGGAGAACTGGCGTGAAAATGGGTTGAAGAGTGGCTAGGGTTTCACTCTTCAACCCTTGATATAACATAAAAATATATATAGTTTCCCATTTTGCCTTTACACTTTCTTTAAAATTTCATCTATGTCCCTTAGTCAATTACCATAATGCCCTCATTTTTATTGCATTCTCTATGAAATTCTATCTCTTTTCACTCCCCACTTTTTCAACTAATTTTGAGTGAAAAGACCATTTTACCCTTAATGCAAATTTAAGGCATTTTCTTCACATTTTCTCAAAATAACTTTAGCGAAAATCAACTAAAGGTATAAGAGCATAAATTAAATTACGTACCTCCATGTGGGCATTACAAAGACACACATCAACCAAAGATACTCAGTTGACTCCGAGGAGAACCAAGTAAGATGGGTGTGTGATTCCTAGTAATCAACATAAGAGACTTGTATTGCATGCAACGGCGATCAAGGTGGGGATGTGCCTCCCGGGAGATGATGAGACAATTAGACGTTTTTAAAGTGGTTCAGTCAGAAAGAGAATAAGGTCTACATCCACTAATATCTTATTTATTTGTGTGAGGTCAAGAAATAAGTGATCGATTTTTTCGGTGGTTGGAAAAAGGTTTTTGGCTTACTTTTTAACCAAAAATCTGGGGTTAGAGAAAGTTGCTTTTGTGATTTTTTGTGTCTCTTTTTCTTTTCCCCCATTTTTGCCTCTTTTTTCTGGATCCTTCTCTCCTTAGATTGCTGCCATTTTTATATATAGAGAGAGAGCTTCATATTCTCATGATGGAGTGCGTCAACCACGTTGTCTGATGTCTCGCAGTGGCCAGAAGCTCACATGCCCTTCGTCGTAGCTAATGATGGATGTTCCCTCTAACAACAGGTGTCTTTATAGGTATCCTCTTGGCTTGGCTACATTGAGAGCATGTGGAGCTTGCATGGCCGCGTGTTGCTTAATCGGGGTATGCAACCTATATGTGGTGACCTCGTGGGCTTGTGAGGTTTGAGCTTGCCTTTGGCGTGTGTTAAAACAGGCACGCCGACATTGGGCATTTCGTCGATTAGGACAAGCATCCCTTTGGCAACTATTGTCTTTATTTTCTCCCATGGCCTACTTTCCTAATTATCTCCCGGGGTTAACTTGCCCCTGAGATTCTCGCTCGTGAGTGGAAGGTGCCCTGCGTGTAAGTGATTGATCTCAAAAAGGCAGCGGAAAAAACACAAATTAAAACAAAAAATCAATCACTTTCTATGCCCAGATCTGGGTATAGATCAAATTGCTTACATGTTAATAAACAGAAAATTTTACAATATAAATCATAATAAATAATCCATACAAGGATTAAGAACACATTACCAATGTTTGGAGGGTCCTTCAATACTTTGATTTCGCTTGTTGATTCAAGAAAAGAATCGCATGAACGTCGTCCACACGAAGATAATCCGCAGAACCTACTATAGTTTTGCTAGAATTAATAGAAGGCTTCAAGAATCAAGTGAATCAAAGAAAGAAATTCTTTGATTCACACACTATTCCCAATAGGAATAGCCATGGATTCTTAAGTTAATCCATCCTTGCAACCAAACACACCTTTTATGGTATTTTAATTTTAATTGATTATTAATATAATTAAAATCAATTAATATATAATAAATATTAACATTTAATTATTAATAATAATCCATTTAAATATATGCACATATATATTTAAATATAATCTCACTAATTTTAATTTTAATATTAAAATTAAATACAGACAACAACCTTAGTAAATTTAATTGCACTATGAGATTACCAAAATACTTTTTTGTCCTAAAAGACGAAAATACCCCTTTCATAAAAACAATTCTTAAATTATCTTCTAAGTGTGTGACCCGTAAGCTCTTTATTGTATCGGCAGTGAGTAGTATCGCGATTAACACCAATTAATCATCTCACTACTCAAAGATCAAGATTGGCCCCTAGCAAGGCATCATGGCCACCCGATGGATTCGGATTCAACGAAACAACTAATTGTCAACGATATGGTTACCGTACAATCAAATCCTTTCATCATCTGTTATCTCATCGAGACTGAGGTACATAAATAGTGTCAACCTTAGTTATCCTCGATATCTATGTATTCAATTAATGGACCAATGACCAGAATAATAAATTGGATTGAGCAACAACTCAATCCCATTATGGCCACAGTTTTAGTGTCATTGCCATTCACTAAATTGCGTCGTGAGATAACTTCTCACATACCTAGGAGTGATGAATCCTCTATCAATCCACTATAGTCTTGATACACTCCTTGATGTAGCAAATCATTACCGTATTGACAGCTCTGAATAGAACTACGTTAGGTTAGTCTCAAACTACACCAATCGGTGTATAGGGCGCTGCGGCGACCTCAAGTCTAAGGATCACATGTATCACCATTCGTTAGATGATTTATTCCATAGACACTATGGTTACCATCCATATAGAATCCTTTGGTGGGTCTGTCCAATGAACTTGCCTCTAGCAAGTACCCATGCGTTGCACCAAGCTGTCGGCAAACAACCTTGACAAGTGAGATCAGTCACTACCTTTCGACAGGGTCGTTCAACACTGTGATAGCCTTACCGTATTATTTGTGTACTTGGTCAGAATAATACTAGGGCTACAGATGTTTCTAGAATTGCTACCATATGTGATCATAGACTTGATACCCTCGTCATGGTTTTTACCATCCTAAGGACATATATCATTACATACACGATATAGAAGAATATGTCTTTTAGTGATAAATAAACATTTATTATAGAGTCAATTTTACAATAATTGATTGGTTATAGGGCACCTACTCTAACACTACTATGTCAAGGTCGCTCTGTACTGTCGATGAACCAGATTAGGTTGGCCTGCTGTCGATGAACCATATTAGGTTGGCTTGCTGCACATTTCTCAACTCAGCCACGTTCGACTACATCACCTGTATGACCAGCGTCATTATCATCTCCATCAATTGGCCATTCTCGGGATTAGAGGTTTTTGGTCGTAGTTGATTTATGACCTATTACGCCAGTGGTACTAGCGATCGGCCTGTACCAGCGTCCTGATTCACCTTATGGTGGGTGATTTTCGCATTGTCGTGGTTTTCGGTAGTCACTTTGGATCTTGTACGGGCCATTGGAAATTTCAAGTGTTCAACTATTCACTGAAATTGCTTGTTTCTTGCCGGGAATAGGGAAAGTAGGCAGAGGCTCTCCTTCTAGTGACAAAATATTGATATGAAATTCGTACCAACTAGAGTGATCCGATTTACCGTGATGGAATTGGAACTGATGTGTGCATGATTTAATAAAAATCAGCAATGACAGTATGAAAATGCGTTATAATGCAAAAGACACAAATAATTTCTGAAGTAGTTCGGTAAGTTAGAACTTGAGCCTACGTCCACTATTATTCTATGAGAGCTTACAATTTATATCAATTGTAAAGTAAAAATTGCTAACCCCCTTCTCATAATTGGAGAGGGTATTTATACAAATTTGAGACTAAGGAAAGAGAGAAAATAACAGGATTGCAATCAAATTTAAATTGCAACTACGATATTTACGTGATTAGAAGCTAAGATCGCACTGTCATAGGTGTTAATTATCTATTATAAAATATCCGAGATTTGAACTTATCTCTGGTTTGTCGAACAACTGCCAGGGTTGGTCATGACTAGCTTATGCTAGGTCCATCTATCATTGTCAATGAGCTTATGATGGGTCAAACCAATGCCAAATCAAACTGATTATAGACCAAACAATATTCTTGTGGGCTTATGACTTCACCAAACTTAATGAAAAAATCGCACACAACAAAAATAAAAAAATATATATCGTTGAAATTTCTATACAAATTAAAATATATATAATCATACAAATTAATAATAAAGCAATATATATTTTAAAATATTACCTGGACATGGATATTTAGTCATTTGACAAATCTCAATCAAAGTTAACGGTTTAAATCGTTAATTGTGCTTTCATTATCTTTTCTAATATAAGTGTCTTATAACCCGTAAGTTTTTAACTGAATTATCAAAGCCCGCTTTTGTTGCATTCAACTATTCCTTCGGAGAAGTTATCCCGCAAGTAAAATTATAGGCAAAGTATTACTTTGTGTCCAAAATCAAATCTAGGATTATGGGTTGAAGTCATACACAACCACTCTTATTGTTGGACTATCCATGGGTGAGTTAATAGATAAATAAATTATATTTTTTTCCAAAGATAAAATAGAGAATCATGAGAAAAAAAAAACAAAATTTAAACGAACTCTAATATTAAAAAAAAAAAAAAAAAAAAAATGATTAGTACAACGATTTTATAAAAAAAAAAAACCCAAAATAAGATGTAGTTATTTCTTTTACATCCTACCTATAAGGCCGAATCCCTAAGCCTTGAAGTCATCTAAAGTTAGTATAAGTCCTCTATTGACTATTGTTGGACCATCTTCTTTCCTTATTAAAATCTCTGGTAAAAAAATTATCTTTCGCTTTGTCTCCATTTAAAATCCTTCTCTATTTAGGTTTTGTTTTGATTGATTTTGATTTTAGGGTTTCAATTTGATTTCATGCAAAGCTCAACAAACTTGCTGAGATCATACGGGTACATCATCTATCTACTACTTTAGGGTTTTATTTTTATACCTCGTTATTGAAATTGAAATTTCATCGTTTAACAAGCTTATATCTTTGTTGATTATGAATATATATCTATATCGTTTAATCCTTGGAAATAATGAAAACTAAAGGATTTTGATATTTCTAGCAATTAAACGGGGTTCCTTTTGATTAATTTTTTGGGGAATCTTTGTTTTTGTTGATTTTTTTGGTTTTATGGGTATTGAGTTATTTTTTTTATGAAAAACAGATACCAAGGTTTAAGGTTCAAGTGATGGAAAATTATTACTGATTTATGTTGTTCTTTTGGATTTTTGGCAGTTAAACAGACTATTATTTTGTTGGTGTATTGATTATTTTGAATTTTTTTGGGGACCCTTTTGTTTTTATTAGTTTTGCTTCTCATTTGTGAATGTTTGTCGCCGTTGCTAGTTAGTTTTGTTGTATGTATCTGTAATGGAACTCTGTGAGCTCGACTCTTGTTTGAACTAACTGTTATTGATTTTCTCTACTTGTTTATTTGTCAACCTAGTGGATAATTGGTGGCTAAACTTGTGGATTGGCTGTTGTTCATATTGTTGCTTAATTTAGATTACAGACATATTCTTAAATTTATTTAGAGGCATCTATGTTGGTAAATGATATTGATTTATTTTGATTTTGCAGGGCCAGCAGTGAATTTCGAGTAAAACAAAAGCATATTATAAGATTCTGTTGGTAAGAAATGCCTAGGGAATTGTCACGTTCACGGTCGCGATCACCGACATATAGGCGGAGGCATTCACCTTCGCCTAGGTATAGCAGGAGGAGCCGGAGAGATAGAAGTCGGTCACCATATTCATCATATTCTTCGAGCAGGTGATCCCGATTGTATTCTCACTGTTTTAGATTAATGTGTTAATTAACGAGCAATTTTAAGAAAGATTGGGGACTCACTTATCTCTCATGCGGATTGGAAATACAATATGTTGGAGTTGATCTGTACGCATCCTATCCTTTTCTGTTGGTCCTTTGGCGCTATTCTGTTTTGCCTCAATAAAGCCTGTGAGTTTGCTCTGAATGATAGAATATTTTAGGAAACATTTAAAAAAAAATAGAAAAAAAAGAAGAAAGGATAAATGAATTCAAAATGTTTGAACTTCTTGAAGTCAAGGAATTGGCAAGAGTGGTTGTTGGATAATTTGGATGCCAAATTTAAGTTATTACTGCTGTTGATATTTTGTAAGGTGGATGAATTTTGGTTATTTGTTTCCTTGGTATCAGAGTATTTATCAAGACCTATGACCCTGTTTCCTGGAATGTTTATCTTCAAGTTGTACATTCTGCCGAATCTTCTTCTGAATCAGGGATTTACGTGGAAATTTAGTCATTGGTCAACATACAGGGTTCTTTCTTTAGTTTTTCTTAAGTGACTAGAATGGATAGTTTGATTGTTTACTTTAGTATCTTCATGATGTATTTTCTTTTAAGAGAATTTTCTCTTCATGTGTTCTATGAGCACCCTGATGGTATATAAACTTCCTTGTGATAACTTTCATGCTAATTTATGGTATTGTTGATTTTTCCTTATTTTCAAAAACACTTCATGATTATGTTGCTTGCTTCTGTGCATTGATCAACATCTGTAGCTACTGACACTCCTGGAGAACTGACCTTTTGCATGGTTAACTAGAAAATTTTCCAACATAAATATGTTGATCGAGATATATACAATTCTTTGAGTGTTAGATAGGATGCATGTGCTTCATAATAAAATTCAAGACTCAGTTTCTTCCCATCATGTGGGATGGGAAGTGAGCAGGTGATGGGTGCTGATGGGTGTCCTTTTGTTGCTCGATTGTGACATTAGCTTCTTCATGTGATAAAAGATGGAGCACATTCTTAACAATGTGTGAGGTAACTGTATATGCTTCTATATTAATTGCTGTAGATGGTGGGTCTGGTTCATGTTTTATTTTGTGATGCCCAATATTTTTGCTGTTGCTCAATAATTATTATGTTGTTACAGGCGGAAAAGTCATTCTATTTCCCCACGCCGCCGGAAAGCTTGTTCTCCGTCTCCAAGACGCCGTAAAAGTCGTTCTCCAACACCAAGGCGCTATAAGAGGCAAAGAAGTAGGAGTTCTTCACTGTCTCCTACTCATAAATCCTCAAGTCCAAGTCTTGGGTCATTAGAGCAGAAAAATGCAATTGAAAAATTAAGAAAAGAAGAGGAAGAGAAAAAAAGGTATATTTTAAGGTTTTCATGGCTATATTTACTCAATTGTTATTTTCTTTTATCGCTTTTGTTTTTAAAGTTCACCGTCAGAGTATCATAGGATTATATTTATGCTACCCTGCTGTTGAGTTGAGTAGAAAATGGATCTGCTGTCCAGTCTTATTGTTATCTCTTTTTATCATCTTCAATGTTGGAGTATATTAGTTTTTAAACTCTTTGTTACATTTTGGAAGGCCCATGGATCATATATATGCAAGGTTCTTTCTGAGTTGTATGGAGAATCTTCTTGAGGCTTGCTGTAGTGCTAGTACATAGGTCATATTAATCTGAATTTAATGATGAGTATTTAGTTTTGAACATTTTGGTTCAGACCTGCATAATTTTGTCTCTTTTAAGTTGATTGTAGTGTTGGGATGAACTTTTTAGAGGAGAAAAATACCACAATGATGCAGGCAGCTATGATGGCTACTGCGTTTTACAAATTTGAAATCATTTATGTTCACCCGTCAGCCAAGTGTGGCAGCTTTGATATTTTCTGGAAGGCTTGAGGTTTGTGTGGTTTGGTCTTTGGAAATCAAATAAAATGAGTTTGATGTTTTTGGAAACCTTGGTCCTTGGTAGTGAAAAGCTTCAATTGCTTGTCTTCTCCCTTTCTCTGTCCTTGTCCCTGCCCCTGCTCCTACATCATTTGTTTTTTTGTTCTTCCTTTTCTCTTGTTTCGTCTTCGTTGCAAGGCTAACTTGCGCCTCGTCATATTTAGAGTACATACACCACTTCTTTACTTATAACTTTGAGGTATCTGCTATTTTCTTAATACAGAAATTATGAATGGCACAACAGTATCTTATGCATTCTGTTTCTTGTCCTGTCATCTCTAGAACTGCAATGTTTAAAAAGCCATTTTATGTGTGAATTAAACATGAGCACCCTCAATCATATGGACGCATAATAATGCAATGTTATACAATTTTGATTATCTCAAAGATGCTGTGCACAGTGTAGCACTGTACAATGTGAGGGACAAACATGGAAAACTTCTAATTATTTTACTAGTTTCTTGATTACACGTGCAAGGGAAAAAAGTTAGAAGAAATTGGAAATTTTAATTGCAGTTGGAATTGCTTGCTGTTTTTTATGTGGAGATGTGTCTTTTTCTTCTATTAGTTTTATCTACAGAGTTCACCATATGCTTTTTTCGTCGTAATTACCTTTTTTTGCGATTGGTAGAATTCTGGTGTCTTATTTTAGCTGATCTGTCCTTCATATTTTGGTGAAGAACATCTGGTGTTCTTCAGTATGCTGCTGGTTCATAATCTTTATTCCTTTGCTTGCTATATTTGGAGTTTAGGATATCCGGGTTGGTAATAATTATAGCTTTCCAGTACCTACTTACATCACTTACAGATTACAGTTAACAGTCATCAAATGGCATGAGAGAATAATGGTTTAATTAAATAGTGATTTTGTGTTTGATTAGTATATAACCACCTTTATGTAATTTTTTTTTCATGGTCAATGACAGTATCGTATTTAAAACCATTATAATCACATGTAGCCTAACAAACTTGACCAATCTCAACTCAAACTAGCCCACTAGGCATTAGCTTGGGGTTACCAGGTTTAAGAGATGAGTGTCTTGGAAATTCTCAATCCCTGTAGTGTTAAAGCAGACTTCCAATCCCTTCTAGTTGAGCTTGATTCGATCTTCAGTGCAGTTCAGTTTGCCTAAATGCAGCCCCAGTCTTCTGTTTGCATCCAGATGCTGTGTTTGTTACCAGAAAATGTTTCTTTTGGCTGTTGAATCAGTGGCTTGTGTTCGAGGTGTTGCTACTTTCAATATCTATATGCATAGAAACAGGGCCACAACTTTAACGTCTGAAGTAATATTTAATGCAATGGATTGATATATTTTGGTAATTAGCTCTCAAATTGCAGCAGGTTATTTGACATTTTTTCCACAGGCTTTTCCGAAGGAAGATACTGCTGTAGTTCAACTTGTTATATATGATGATCAAATTGCGTACCTCGTTTATCTACTATTCACCAGTTTTGAAATTGATTTGTTTTTATCAGGATTCAGTTAGAGGTATGCCTTAAAAGCATGAGCATACTTTTTAGTGCCTTTATCATCAGGAAGGTTAGTTTGCCATTTATTGTAGTTACACAGCATGTATAGAGAGAGAGGGAAAAGAACGAGAAAAGGAATCATGATTCATGTATTGCTTTTTTAGTTTTATATATTGTCTTGATATGAAGGCATCTGGAATTGAAAGGGTGACATACTCCAACACTGTGATAGTGGTTATGTTTCCAATTAACTTTTTCTCTTCTACTTCAGGCGTCAACAGGAAGCCGAATTGAAACTGATAGAAGAAGAGACAGCAAGGAGGGTAGAAGAAGCTATTAGGAAGAAAGTTGAAGAGAGCTTGAACTCTGAGGAGATTAAGCTGGAAATTCAGAAGCGGTTGGAGGAGGGGCGGAAGAGACTTCTAGATGAAGTCACAGCTCAACTTGAGAAAGAAAAGGAAGATGCTCTAATCGAGGCTAGAAGAAAGGAGGCAAGTATTTATGATAATAAACCTGGTGCAGATGACTCACCTTTTTCCCCTTTTCATATTCCCTTTCCTTTCCCCTTCGTATTCCCACGGCAATGATAGTTTTCATGACACCATTCTAGCTGCTTAAGGCAAAAGCTTCTTTCAGCTGTTCTCTTTTATTTTCCGCAGTTTTACAACTACTGGTCACCCCATAAAGGTTTGGCCATACCCGTCCAACTTCAGGGAAACAAATAAATTTTAAGATTTACAATGACATGGTTCCTCACAAGAATTCGTAATAGAGAAATAGGTGGTGCAAAACTAATCTTGTGACGGAAATATTGTCATTAATCTAAAAACTCTTGTTCATATTAATTTTATTTTGATTACAGGAGCAACTGCGCAAAGAGAAAGAAGAATTGGAAATGATGCTTGAAGAAAACCAGAGGAGGGTTGAAGAATCTCAGAGAAAAGAAGCGGAGGAGCAGCAGCGAAGAGAGGAGGAGCGTTACCGTGAACTGGAACGCATCCAAAGAGAAAAAGAAGAGGCGTTGAGAAGGAAGAAACAGCAAGAGGAGGAAGAACGTTCGAATCAGATGAAGTTGTTGGGTAAGAACAAATCTCGGCCGAAGTTGTCGTTTGCAATTGGGTCTAAATGAACACCGGAGAAACATCATATAATTTTGTCAAAATGTCTGTGCTTGATTGACTTAATTAATATTACATGTTTGCATTTGTGATTTAAATGATAAAATACAGTTTTTTGTTATTATTCATTGTTCTATACCCAGCTCTACCCCTTATATTTTCTCTGTGACTGAATCTTAGAGATTGCATTTTTCGAAATTTTTTATTTTCATATATAAATAGTTTATATTATATCAAAGTTTTGTCGTTTCTTAAGTGTATTAATAGTAGAAATAAAGGTAGAAAAAGAACCCGTCAGGCCCAATCTGGCCTAGCCCATGGTGGGTTAAGCAAAATTGCGGGCTAGGCCTAACCCGATCTGTCTCTTTGGCCAGAAGGGTTAGCTCGGCTTGTCAACCTTAACCCGACAGGTTTTTGTGCGAGTCAGGTTGGCCCAGATTTTTTTTTTTTTTTATTTTGTGTAATTTTTTCTAGTTAACTTTTCAAATATTAATAATTCAATTAAATTAATTTTTTTTTGGTTAACCTTTCAAATATTGATTCAATTTTAATACAATTAAATTGTAATATATGAAAAATTAGATTTATTCATTTATCAAAAAATAAAATAAGAAATAAGAAATTATAATAATTATTGTCTCGTTAAAAACCTTACTAAGAAAAACCCAATTGGGACAAAAACTTTGTAAGGAAAAAAGAGTAATAATTGACAGTTAATTTACAAATTACAAAGTTATAATTTTCAAAACAACTAATTTGAGGGTTGACTAAGATCTCTCTTATCTGTATCATTTAAATTACAAAATTAAAATGATTTTATTAAAGTATCGTCAACAACCTTGTATTGATCCTGATGGCACAATCGTTTCAAATCTTGAAGATATGTGAGGACTTAAATCATTTTTTGTGAAAGTTTAGTCCTTCTGTCATTTAAAATTCTCCCACTTGCACTAAATGTTTGTTTGAATGTGACAGGAACAGAGAAAACATCTAGGGTAAGTCTTGATAATACTAGAAAAATATATTTTCTAGTTTTCTAATATTCTAAGACATCAAAGTTAGCTCTTTGTTGTGGATCTGCTAGTAGCATGTTGGGGGTTCCCAAATATTGGTGAAGCTCATTACTCTGTAGTTACATGGAAGACGGTACATTCGTTGTTGATGCTTTTGAAGAGGAGGCTATGCTTCAGGTTCGGGTCCTCTTCGAACTATTAAGTACACTTTAAGAGTCGAAGTCTTCATTTGTTTATTCGGATGCTACTTCCTCAGGTATTTCGCCTCTTTGCTGGTTCTCATACCTATTTTCATATTGCAAATATACCTCTGCAAGACACTCTTATCTCTCCTAGTTGATTGACATATGCTTCGTCTCGTAAATTTTCACTTAATGTGTCTAAACCATCTTCTAAACGCACTAATTTAATTCTAGGATCAAATATGACAGCTGAACAATAAAAAAAAAAAAGGAATGAGTTTTCAATATTTTTTAAATTTTAATTCTATTGCCTCTATTGGTCCCGCTAAAATTTCATTTTTTTTTTTTTAAATAAATCTGAAATTTTTATAATTGTATGTATTACTAATAGACTAGTAGGATAATATACACCAGAAAGTTATAAAGTGGATTGATAAAAAATTTAAAGAAAATAATGAAAATTTTGAGCTATATGCCAATCACTGTCTACCAAATAATGAGGATCCATATCATTTGCTACAAAATAACTAATTAAATTTACATAAGGTAAATATGAATCAAGCATTAAATAGATATTATTTCATCTAACAGGCATGTCTAATGCAAAAGTTCTAGGAGACATATTTGATTTTATACAAGCATCTTGAAATTTAGTATTTCCTCTATTACTACTAGTAATCCAAGCTAAAAAATCCCTAGTTCTATCAATATTATTTCTAATTTTTTTCATATCACTTTTCACAACTAATTAATAACGTGACATGCACAACGTTGGTGAAAAAACTTCAAATTGTCATAAAAAAGAAAATTTATTTGAAAAAAATCTATAACTTTACTATTAGCAATTACATTATCTAAAGTTAAACTTATCACTTTGGGAACAATATCATAATCTTTTAGAACTTCAACAATTTTATTATGAATTTGTTGACCACTATAATCTACATCCATTAATCTAAATCTTAATAAAGATTTATTTAATTTACATTCGTTATCAAAATAATGACTAGTCACATAAATATAATCTTGTTTAGCTCTATTATTCCAAATATCGGTGGTTAAAGCCATAATAACATGACAACTATGTATTTTATTTTTCAATTCTAATTTCATTTTCCCAAACAATTTTATTAAATCATTTCTAGTTGCAGTTTTAGAATAACTTTTAAATCCTAAAAAAAATGAATTTTTAATAAATTTTTCAAAATATTTATCTTCAGCCATATTAATAGGTTGATCAGTTGCAGTAATATATAAAGCTAATTGTTCCTATACAAATTAGAATTATAGCGCTAATTAGTACCTATATTAGTTTTTTGAGTTTGATTGGTTTCTCTATTTTCATGTTGATTTATATGTTTACTAGCATGCATTTTTAAAGTATTAGTACCATTACCTGCATCAGCTTTATAAATATTTCCACAATACTTGCATCTTGCTTTTTTCACTTCAACTCCATTTTCTGTCTCGTAAAACTTATCGAAATGCACCTAAACGTATGATGTGTGCCTGTCGTCAGTTTCGACTGCAGTTGATGAACCCGTTTCTGCTTGAGATGGAGTTAGATAAGGACGATGATTATGAGGACGACTTCTAGAACCACCGGTGTAACAACTTCTTTCTACTATCATATTCATAAAATATATCAATAAAAAGACAAGTATATTTATCAAAATAGTTGGGTCCAAAATTTTCTTTACTTAATAAATACATTCTTTACATAGTACAACATCATTTGTACAAAAAGATTCTAAAAAAAACAGTGGATAGTGCAGCCAAGTCTCCTCGCTTGCCGACGTCCATCCAACCAGGTCCTCACCTATGTCCTGTACAACAAAGAAAACAATGAAGTGAGAACAAAGATGCTCAGTAAGTAAATCTTCTACTCTATAATCCCCGTGCATTACTCATCAATTCTTTTCGTACTCTTGTCACTTTCTCTAATTCTAGTTCTCACTATTCTTTTCTTTCTTTCTATTCTCATCACCCATGGAGAATATCATAACTATGCATGGATGAGACACTAAAGCATAACAATGCATTTTCTTTCTTTTCTTTTCTTTCTATTCTTCTCTTATTCTTATTCTCTGCCGGTCTTGGTCGATGCATGGATTCGGAACCCTTGACCATGTGAGTGTACTCTCTTTCGTGTACAGCTCTCATCCGCATGTATTCTCACGGCTATACAAATTCTGTTTCTCATTCTCATTCTGCTCTCTCATGGCGGAGACTGCTCTCTCTCATGGCGGTTTACATGCGGGTAACTCTACACTCACGGGTTCCCCATCATACGACCTATTTTCTTTTCTTTTCTGTAGCACTTAATAATCATTTAATTCTCTAGTGCTAATTCTTTCTTTCTCTTTATTCTAAGAGAATTGGTTCTTTTCTTTATCTCTATTCATAGAGTGTTTCTTTCTCATTTCTCATATTTATTTTTCATGTGATTACTCAATTAAACATATGCATATGGATGGCTCATGCTTAAAATCTTTCTTATATGCATTCATGACATGCAAATATGCTCTATTGCATAAAGTAAGGTTCTCTACTTCTACTCATGCTTCTTTTAGGCATTTCATCAAACAATATGTATGCATACATAAACTCTATTCTAATTTTTAATTATACTTCTTTCTTAATCATCCAAAATAGGAGTTCAACTCCTTCAAATCATCACACATCCTGCAAAGAAAACACACTTCAAATATTCCTCTCAAATTCTTCTAATTCTCTCCATATTTCTACCAAAATTTGTCAACACAATCCACCCTACTCATGGTGGAAATTCTTTCATAAAACAACATTGAACTCATTCATGAATTCATCAACTCATTTCAAACATAGAAATTCAAGCATTAAGCATATATAAAAAATCTCTACACATCATTCAATCATACAAATCACAACTTAGATGGATTTACTTACCTTAGGCTCAAGTAGAAATCATTTAAGCTCTCTACTTTTGATGGCTTGATACCTTCTCTTAAACCTTCAATACAAACTCAATAAGGATCATACTCTTTCAAGAATAAAAATTCACATCTAGAGTAAGGATTCTCACCTTTAAGTGCTTAGGATCAACTTATATCAATTTCTAGTCAAAAGCTTTTCAAAGATCCTTGGAAAATTGAATGAAAATTTGAGAGGATGGAAGGATGAAAGAGGTGGTGGAGAAGAATGAATGAATAAAAGGGTTTCTAAAGCTAAACCCTTAATATCTCATATTTTCTCCACTCTTTCCCAATATACCCTTGCTCCTTCTTTGAAATTCCATCTATCACCTTTAATTCTTTGCAAAAACATCCCATTCAAACTATTCTCCATGCAATTTCATTGCATTTCACTCCCCACTTTTCCTGCTAATTAGGGGTAGAATGGTCATTGAGTCCCAAAAGGAAAAATTCTCTAAATCTTAAGGGAAAATTTCAGCTGGGTCTTCGCCGCGGCAAAGCTATTTCTTCGCCTCGGTGAAAAATCACAGTAGCTACACGGGGGTTGTAGCACTTCATCGCCGCGGCGAAGCTTCTTCTTCGCCTCGGCGAAGACTGTAACATCAAGATTTCGCCAAGTCTTACAAATTTTCTAGGCAATCACTCAACCAAACCAATACACCCCTTTCAACTAAGGATAAACCAAGCAATATTAACAACATACAAACTCAAATGAGGATAAATCAATAAACATTCAAGCCATTCATCAAATCTTAACTATGTACCTCAAGTGGGGCGTTACAACCGGGAGTTGTAGCAACATGGGGAGGAGGGGGAGAATATTATGAGGTGTATCAGATTCTGAGAATAGGAAAGTGAGACTATTTGAATCTACTGCATTTACGTTAGTAAATTTAGGGGGACTAGGATAATTTTCTTCATCATCGAAATTGATGAGATTGAAATATCTATCAATTCTAGTTAAAAAAAAAAAAAAAATTGGATATAGAAGAAATAAAGAATTAAA